TAAAGCAATATGATAATAAAGCGGAAAATTGGGTTAAACATGTGAAGTACATATCATTAAAACGTGCTCATAATCGCTGTACATCAGGAAAATATAAAAACTATGCAACATTATAGCATTGTGTACTGCTAACTCAGCTGAGAATTTTTTAATCAACAAGATGTACATACAGCAGAACGATGAAAACTACATTAATCAGCTTAGCCTATAACAAAATAGTACCTGACTGACTGACGAAAGGAAGAGGATAGTCACAAGATAAATGGACACACAAAATCATCTACTGCCAATCCAATGTCAGTGCGGAATACATTTATATAAACACTGAATCAAGGCGATACGCGATTTAATTGGACCTACTTTTTCATGATGTCTTTGACCCATGTTCAGTCATACAGTGGAACAGATGCCCCCCCCCCCCCGCCGTAGAATTAACACTGAGCATGCAGTTCGCTGTTCAAAACATCTTGTTAACTATTAGGCCATGTCCTTACAAATTCACAAACTCTTAGTCTACACGTATGTGAGCACCCTAGTACAATTTACATGCAGGATACAGCCTATGTAGGAGCATACTAGGATATATATATGCATATATGCAGATTTTTATGATGGTCGCCTTCTGCATTTGTTTGGTTAACACTGTACCATACAAGGACCTGATTTGACTTCAGGTACGTGTCGTTGCTCGCTGTTAAGCGGGGAACACGCCATGCAAATTTATTCGCACGACCACAGCGATTGTTAAAATCGCCGCAAAATTCGCATAGTGTGTCCACTCAAGCGATGGCGAATTTAGCTGCGAATTTTATCCACACCGAAATTCGCAGCTATCAAACATGTTTGATATTTTCGCTGCGAATTTTTATCGCTGCGTACAAATTGGTGCGTTCACCAGAGATAACATGACTGTTGGAGCCATGGTTGGAGCCGTGTGGCGACAGTTGATCGCGTGTAGTGTGTCCGCTCAATTTATTGCATGCGGGTGCGAATATTTTAGCCGCGAATTAGATCGCAGCGAAATTCGCACAGTGTGTCCCCCGCTTTATGAAGTCTGAAGGGAAGACCACCATGCACAATGTAGCAACCAGGGAGACGGCTGTGTTTAACTATTAAGGATACTCTCAAGGTTTTAGGAAAATTTTTACCGATTTTTCATTTTCAACTTTATTCGATGTGCCACCTGTGTCCATGCTCATTTCTCCATATAACGGTACATGTGAACTGTCAGAGCGTTTTGCTTGCCCGCGTACATGTGTAGCGAGCCGCGGCTGACGTCAGAAAAATGCTAATTTCTCCGTTCCAATTTCTGACTTAGTAGTCGATGTATAAATGGATATTTCTCTGTGATTACAACTCAGAATAATTTAATTTTACACTCGTTTTAATGGTAACATATTGCTGTAAAAAAGCGCATCAGGAATTGTTATTAAGTGTCGTATTTTATGAGTTATGTCTCTTTATTCGCAAAAATTTTAAATTCAAACGTGCGACTTGAATTTTAGGCAGTTTTCTCGGTAAATATGAAACTTAAAGAAAAATTCTGATGCGCTATTTTGGTACATATTGTGCTTAACATGTGGCAAAAATTTTGTATCCTCACTCTTTCTGGTAATGGAGAAATACCCAAAATACCATTTTTACATAAAAATTCAACATTTTTGTGGTAACATAATTAGGTGCTGGAAATTTCATGAATTTTTTTGCCTTGAGCATAGAGATATATCTCCTCTATAAATAAAACAAGTGATTGATTCGATTCATTCGTCAATAAACGTTTAATCTTCATTAGAGCAATACCCGTGCAAAAGGTTGAGAGTATCCTTCCACGAACATACCACCCAGGAACGCACCTATATCCTCCTCTACCAGGAAATTAAAGTGAATACCAACAATAACTTCCAAATCGTTAGACACTAATATATACTCGTCTAGACAGGTTTAAGTAATTTCAGCGTGTATAGGCCAGTTATGAGGTGTTTATACAGACAGATACAGGGGTTTCACTAGAGACTGAAGAATGTCTGAAATCCCAGAGCATGTTTTTTTTAAATAATTCAGGCGCCCTTGCGGTTTTCATTTCCACCTCATGACACTGTTGCTGGTAAACTAACATTGGATTACTTTGTAATATGATTCCAATTTATAAAATATCTAACGTCTAGCATATTTTATATGCTATAGTATTGACTTCAATTATAGTGAGGCACCCTAAAGCAGATGAAATAGTGAAAACCAAGTGGATGTAGAGGAGAAGGTGGGTGAAGTGAGGCAAGGGTTAGTGCTCAAGGAAGGGATGGGAGAAGGTAAAACAGCAGTACGAGAAGGAATCAGACAATAGGGAAAGGGATGTTGGGGTAAAAAGGAAATACAGTGCCCTGTTATAACGCGATGGTTGGGTTCCATAAAATGTCCTCGCGAAAAAAGCTGGGTCGCGCTAAATTGGGGTTATATATATACGTGGCTATATGAGAGCAAAAAAAGGGGGTCCAACGACTCATCGCATTATATCTGAATTCGTGTTAAATCGGGGCGCGTAAAATCGGGGTTCCACTGTATATTGTAGGAAAAGGGTATGATGTGAAATAGGAAGATGTATAGGTAGTTAAAGATTAGAAGAAGTAAAAGAGGTGGAGAAGAAAGGCTCCATGATCTGATCATGTAGGTATACACCATTGAGTGAGCGAAATTGGCAATTACACTTAAATTTAAATAAATAAATAGTAACTTCGCTGGGCTTCTTAATTTTGCACCACACTACCAATTTTCACTTTACTTCCCTTCCCCCTTTCAGCCCAATTACCTCAAATTCGCTCTTCCTCTCTTCCCCTCTTCCCATCTCCCACACTCCCCATTTCCATCTTCTCCTTTAACTCCTTTTAATTTTGCTTCTTCCACCTCCACATCTTTTACTTGTACCTCTGCCAATGTCCTCACTCCCGTTCTCCAAAAACATATCATCCTCCTCGTTTTTTTACCTGTAAGGCTCCCAGATAATATCGATTTTAAATAATTTAATAAAAACAAATTACCACGTAGCTATTATTGACTTACAGTTACATACTGACGGAAGTACAGTAACGCTGCATCTAGGTGTGAGCTATATAGTCAATAATATATGCACGTCACAAATCCAAGCTGAGAACATTTGACGCCTCCTCTCACACGTACATGCACATACACATCAGCCCAGGATACACGTTTCAGTGACCACTATTAGGCATCATAACAAACTCACTCAGCCCAATCAATTCGGCTGCTACTATACAGCTATTACTTTTAGAAGCAGGCATTAATTGCAGCTGCCACACGAAATTGGGAGCTATATTGCACAATCTTAGGGCAATATTGTTCAATGTAACATTGCTCAGTTCTGGTATGAAACTCTCGAACAAGGTGAACAATAATCAGCTTATATGACAGTTGCATTGTGTACTACAACCAGCATTACTTCTTCACAGAGCTACTGCAGACATGGGCACGACCACGCAGTGGCGCCCGCAGATAGAAGCACTGGAAGCGCTTCCAGTAAATTTTGGGTTAAAAAATTTTGTTCCTAAATCTCTCTCGCAAGACTCACCAGATTGCATCTCCAGACGTCTACCATTCAAAAATGTTCAGAGGGGGCATGCCCCCAGACCCCCCCTAGCATGCAGCGCGCCTACAGCGCTTGCTTTTTATTATCACTGAGGATTTTATCCTTCTGTGCTTCTACTTTCTTAAGACCTGTGGGCGCCAGTGCGGCCCCGCATAACCATACAATTTGCTATATAAATAGAGCTGAACAGACAGGCAGGAGTTTGTGTTATAATTATAACAGTTTCTCGAAATACGTGAAACCAAAGCAGAGGTTTTATGATGGGGCTGTCTTAGAATAAGGCAATATACGAGGTACTACTGTCTCACCTTTTTATTAGGCCATAATAAAAATATTGTTTGTTTGCCCTCACCCGACCGACCCACCAAAAAGGGACCGACTAAAACATTTTATTGGTCTTTTCTTTTTTTCTTTTTTACAAATTGTATCACTGTACATTATATAAATCTGTAGGCAATATATTATATGTACCAAGCAAAACAAACATTCAACATAAAAGGTATCTCCACACAAGCACACCCGAGCATGTCGACACCAAGCTGAATTTGTAAGACCCCTTCAAACAAAATAAAAAAGCCGACCTACCTACCCAAACGTTTCAGCCTGGATTGGGTGAAGGCAAACAAAGATTTGTTTAATTGTGGCCTTATTCCACAATTTGCAGTGCAATTAAGTGTTACAACAGATCTAGTTAGGAACGAGACATTTTTCTGTTATATATATATATATACGCAACCCTCATCACTTACCCGAAAAAGGAACAATCTGAACATGATACTAGTCTATAAACTGAAAGAGTATCTCAAATCTGATGCACACATCGCTTTCCTTTTGATAACTCACTGCATTATTTGGTAACCTTTACCAACTCCTTATAAGTGTGGAGACAAAGTGAAAAAATTGATGGTGTGAGGATAAAGCCAACTTTGATTCCCTCAAGATGCTAAGGTAATGTATCCCACATGTGGAAGTGAAAATAAATAATTTGTATAGTAACTGTTGCTTATGGGGGGTGAATTACCGAAAGTTACCCTAATAAAATGATTTAAATATATTATATATATATATATTCATCTATATCTTTCTTGATACATTTACATAAAGATTCATCTATATCTAGCTTGACATGATATGTTTTCCATATTGATTCTAGCCAAGCTGAAATCTGAGATTGACAGTAATCGTGACAGTTCGTTCTGAGCTTGTTAATATCGTATGGGCAGATATACTGCAGAAAAGACTCATATTGGCATTCGTGCATAGATCTATGTACGCTAAGAAATATATTGGCATTGCATCATTCACTATGCCGCATGAATTAACCTCATATAGTCTCCAGTAACCAAGCACTACCAATACTGAACAAGTATATACTGAGACTAAAGAGCTGCATACCTAGCTAGCTATATACCATATTACTGTACCACAAATTCTTATGTCAAATTTTATTATAGACACAAATCTACTAATTATATAACAAGTGCCGCAGAGCGACAGCGCTCAACTGACGTGTACTGTAGCCAGGTATTCTTCTGATAAACTCACTGGCAACCGAATCAAGTGCGCAGTGCGACCCTCCTGGCCACCAACGCATTCTGCGCCAGAGCAGCATAAATCAGGATATACTAATACAGATCTAAAATCTATGGATAGAGGCTATACCTAACTTGGTAAGTACAGGAAGTAAAGATTACAGACTTGTTGGTAACTCTTAATGGAGCTTATGCTATATTGAACCATGTTATGAAGGATATGCCGTCGAGCACTCAGATGATCGAAACGTAAGTGGTGGTGGTGGGGGGAGGGTAGGGGAGAGGGGAAGGGTGGGGGGACAGTGTGGGAGGGGGAGGGGGAGGGTGGGGTTAGGGGCTCAATAGCAAAAGCAGTTAGGTCCTTTTAAGCAGTCAAACAAAATCCAATGTTTACGCCTCCTCTTGAAGTCAAAAGTTATCCGACCACTTACTCTTCGACATGTCAGCGAAAGTACTATTTCCATGGTCCTTTCAATAAAGCCATAAAAATGTAGGCTCACTGCTAGAAAGACAAAAAGCTTTTTCAATCGCACCCGTCAGACTCATGTCCTCCAGAAATGTCTAAAATCGTGGCCCTGTGCCCCATTTTGACCTTTGAACCTGTGCCCTTCCAATTAAGGCCACAGTGATGGCTTTCCCTAACCCAATGATGCTATACACGACCTATCACCCGAGCCTAGGATCGAGCCGTTTTATTTGTCCGCAATTCTGGAGCATTTCCTCCCTATACCTTAAGTTAAGAAGACGGGAATGTTTCCTATCTTTTACACTGCTGGTGACTTTTGACCTTTGACCCCCACTTCAACATGCGCAAACTCGTTTCGATTGACCACCCCACGCCCGCAATATCGTAAGACCGGTAGAGCGTCGAGGGGGA